GTGACTTATTCCATATGCTTGTGTGATGCACTTGGCACAGAGGTCGAGGGCAATCCTAAAACATGCATACATGGGAGCAAGTCCCTCTGGAAAGAGACATCCTTACTCTTCTGAGGATGCATGTTTAGGATGAGGCTGTCAACTTTTGCGATCGATGTGTAACCCTCCAGCGCACATGCCACGTACACCGGACCTTACCCATGGAGTCGTCGCCACCCCTTGGGATACACGCTTACATGAATTCATTCACACAAAAACCCCGTTTCCATCTCAACCTCCACAGGCAGAGTGGATCGAGGCCGCCTGCTCCGGCTTCAGAAAGCGCCAACAAGGCTGATAAAAGAGCGTTTGGCGTGGATGAGCCCCCTTTTAACGAAGAGGGACTTTAACGAAGTCGCCCAAGGGACGGTGTAACCAGCAGGACACCCGGAGCGAACGGGGGAAGAGAACCGACGACCCGAGCCCCTGAAAAGCGAACGAAGATCTCAAACAGAAGAGGATTCCCCCGAGCAGCCTCAGCCGCCGGCCGGGATCGATCCTCTCCCCCCCCGCCGCCCCTTCGCCCCGGTTCCCTTCTCCAGCCTGCCCCCAAAAGCCCCAGCCGGGCCTACCTTGCTGGTGAGATCGAGCTCAGGCTCACCATTGAGGACCTCGCCGTCCTCGCTGCAGTCCGAGTCCGGCACTCCTGGGTGAAGCCTGGAAGAAGCCGCGGCGGTCCCCGCGTGTGGAGCCGGCTCTGGAGCGAACATCGAGGCCGGCACCGGCGAGCCTCCCATCGGAGAGCGACTTCGCTCCGCCGCCATCTTGGCAAACGCCCCCCCCCGGCCTCCTTCTCCTGCCTCATTAGCATAGGCCCCGCCCACCGGCGTATAAATTAGGCCGGAGAAATCAGCCGGCCCTTTTCGCATTCGCCTTTTACCGAGCTAGCTACTGAATAATTTAGTACCTCTCCAACCAATCGGATACTGGTTTGATTAATAATAGCTGTATTACTATGACAACAGCAATAGAACTGATTCGTTATACAGAAGCCCCACCTCTTCCAACGACTATCCCACCCTCTCCAGCTTCTACGGGAACCCGCTTTTCTAATATAGACTGGGAAAAAAATAAGGGGGTGGGTATGTATTACGTATCTGCCTCCCCGTGGCCAATGAGAGAAAAGAAAGTATGATTTACAAAGATTGTAGCCAATGGCGGCAAACATGTAAAGAAAAAAAACAAGGAGGAGGTGGAAGTAGAGCCTTCCAACTGCAGCGAGTAAAACGGAGGAGATTAGTGAGAAAAGAAAGCAATGTTACCGTGGGAGCTGGCCAATAAGGAAGCGATTTGGGAATGCAGAAGCCAATCGAATTCTACAAACTGGTTGTTGTTTTTTTATAGGAATTTCCTCTATTTATTTTGCTCTGTGAGACGCGAACTTGTATGGCTCGGGATTAGAATCAGCAAATGCTGATGACACGAGGCTGAAATACGTTCTTACCAGTGGTAATAATCTGGTGCAACCAGATAGTAACTGAAGCGTCCCGTGATTTAAACAGCGAATTGAAGGACTTTACAGTTACCCCTTAATCCTCAGTTTTTTTTGTCCTCAGAACAGAAACCTGCTTAGACTGGCTCGAGGTTTTGTGCCGACACACCAGTGCAACTGTGCGTACCTAAACACGTCGTTTACAATCGCAGGGATGGCTTATATCTAGATGGTTTATTTGCCCACAGTAACCCGGAATAACAGCGTAACCGTTGGAATAGACCACAATGAGTTCAGCGTGTGGAGAAACCAGCATCCCAATGGAAGACTGAGTGCCAGAGCAGCCAAACATTAAATAGGTTTTCATCCAAGCATTCTAGAGTCTTTTAATAAATCCTAGATTTTGCTTGTTGATCCTTGTTATCCACCCTGCTTTTTCTTACAGAGTTTTATAAACTAACATATTAGTTGTATCAATGAAACTTTATACGTCTATGTTGGCTTGGGCATGTCCTGAGAATGGCTGACGTTCAGATTCCAAAAGCTCTCCTGTATGGAGAATTAGTGCAGGGAAATTGCCCCAGAGGAAGACCACAGCTGTGATACAAGGATATCTGCAAGCAGGATCTGAAGGCTTTAGGAATGGACCTCAACTCAACTGATGCGAAACTTTGACATCTGAGCGTTCAGCCTGGAGGCAGGCAGTGCAGCATGGTCTCTCCCAATTTGAAGAGACCCTTGTCCAGCAGGCAGAGGCAAAGAGGCAGTCCCAAAAGCAGCAAAATCAGGGAGCTGGACAGGGGACAGTTTGTCTTCAGTGTGGAAGGGATTGTCACTCTTGAATTGGCCTTCTCAGCCACACTAGACATTGTTCCAAGACCTCTATTCAGAGCACATTACCATAGTCTCTCCAGACTGAAGGATACTTACAGAAATTTCCAGGAGTCAAAGTCCAGTTTGTCAAGCGCATAATGTGGTCAACAGAAGTTATTATCTGTATACATACACCATGACTTGTTTCACCAAATGAGGTCTTAAGGCTATACAAGGCAAAAGAAAATGGTAAGCCTGTTCATAGTACTATTTAGATCACAAATCAATATGGAATTCAAACAGCATGAGTATGCTTAGCTTCTCACTAGTAACACTTGATGATTCATAGCACAGCAAGATCAAGAAACATGTAAATAAAGTGAGATGCAGTATGAAAACTAGGATGTTTTTCCTGTCTGGTAGCCTAGGGAAGTGGGAAGAAATCATACAGGCAATCATTTTCATGATTAAAAAAAAAATCTCAAGGCACAGGTGTGACTCACTAAGAAAAGCATTACAGTTGAGAATGCTTGTTTTTTCAGCTTTCAGCCCTGTGTCATCAGCATTTGTTAGGGACTGTCCTGAGGTCAGAGAGTTTATTGCAGGAAGAGGTAAATAAATGGTATGAGAAAATGTCCTCACATTATCCTGCTGAAACAGACTACTGCCATCAGGGAACACCATTGCTGTGAAGGAGTGTGTGTGGCTTCTATGTAGGTGGCACATGTCAAAGTAACATCCGCATGAATGCCAGGGCACAAAGTTTCCCAGCAGAACAATGCCCAGAACACATCACTGCCTCCACCAGCCAGCCTTCTTCCCATTGTGCATCCCGCTGCTTGCTCTTTCCCCAGGTAAATTACGCACATCTGATTTAAAAGAAAAGATGATTAATCAGACCAGGTGACCTTTTTCCATTCCTCCATGGTCCAGTTCTGGCACTCACATCCCCAGTGTAGGTGCGTTTGGCAGTGGACAGGAGTCATCATGGGCACTCTGTAGCTATGTATCCTCATCCAGAGGACACTATGATGCACTGTGTGTTCTAACACCTTTCTATCTTGGCCAGCATTAAGTTTTTCAGCAATCTGAGCTACAGTATCTCTTCTGTGTGATTGGACCAGACAGGCTAGCCTTGGCTCCACACATGAGCCTTGGGCGCCCACAGACCTGAAACTGATTTATTGGTTGTCCTTCCCTGCACCACTGTTAGTAGGTACAGTATTAACAGCTGCAGACCAGGAACACCCCACAAGACTTGTTGTTTTGGAGATGCACTGATCTGTTCATCTAACCGTCACTATACTTTCTTGGGCTCCATGATCACTGCAGATGGTAACAGCAGCCATGAAATTAAAAGACGCCTGCTTCTTGGGAGGAAAGTGATGAGAAACATCGACAGCATCTTAAAAAGCAGAGACATCACCTTGCCAACAAAAGTCCGCATAGTCAAAGCTATGGTTTTTCTTGTAGTGATGTATGGAAGTGAGAACTGGACCATAAAGAAAGCTAACCGCCGAAGAATTGATGCTTTTGAATTGTGGTGCTGGAGGAGGCTCTTGAGAGTCCCCTGGACTGCAAGGAGAACAAACCTATCCATTCTAAAGGAAATCAAGCCTGAGTGCTCACTGGAAGGACAGATCCTGAAGCTGAGGCTCCAATACTTTGGTCATCTCATGAGAAGAGAAGACACCCTGGAAAAGACCCTGATGTTAGGAAAGGGTGAGGGCAAGAGGAGAAGGGGACGACAGAGGACGAGATGGTTGGACAGTGTCATCGAAGCTACCAACATGAATTTGACCCAACCCCGGGAGACAGTGAAAGACAGGAGGGCCTGGCATGCTCTGGTCCATGGGGTCATGAAGAGTTGGACATGACTAAACAACTAAACAACAACAAACCCCACTCAGGCAGGCCCACTCAGGCAGGCAGGCAAAGACTGCCTGAAGAGAAAAGACGTTGCCTACTCCTGGAAGGACAGCTAAGATGGGGCAGTCTGGCCTCATGTGGGAGTTCCAGATGGTTGGACAGTGTCATCGAAGCAACCAACATGAATTTGACACAACTCCGGGAGGCAGTGGAAGATAGGAGGGCCTGGCGTGCTCTGGTCCATGGGGTCACAAAGAGTCGGACACAACTAAACGACGACAATTCTATGTTAAGCTTGTAGCCGATTAAGATTTTTAGATCCTTCTCGTGTATGCTATTGCCAAGCCAGCTGCTGTCATTCATCTTATATTTGTGTTCCTGGCTTTTCCTGCCTAAATATGTATCTTTACATTTTTCCCTGTTGAAACTAATTTTGTTTGTTTTGACTTAGTTTTCCAGTTTGTTTGGGTGGTCTGACTCTGTGTTCTGGACTATTAGCTACCCCTACCAGTTTGGTGTCATCATCTGCTTCTGGAGAGACTGGTGAAACTTGGAGAGGGGTGGAGCTCTGCTTCCAACCTGTGTTCAACTTTCTAAATAAACCAAAAGGTTACCTAACGCAGAGAGTATCTGTGACAATACCCACCTGTATCAGCCCAGCTCCTTTTCCTAATATACTCTCTCTACTCCCCAGCCCTTTCCATCCTGAGGTGGGGAAAATCAAGGAAGGAACAAGGGCAAGAGAACCTATTGAGTTCACCTGGACTGTTTTCCTTCAGCTTCCTGGCATGGAACCCCTTTCCTGTGATTGTTCCTTTTAGGAAGTGTTAGACATCTGTGTCCATTCACTTATTTTTCACTGGCACCATCCCCACACACATCTTCTCACTTCAGACTCTAGTAGCTTGGCAAATTGGTTCAGACACCAGAAATAAGTACTGTACTTAGATTTCTTCTGCAGTCAAAAATCCATTGTATACCTGGATAGGATTTTATGTATTTGATTACAAATAAGAAAAAGGGAAAATATTAAATGGTTGCTCAAAATTTATTGGTAAAATGGAACAAAATCACAACACATTACAAAACCAGTATGTGACCAAAAAAAAGAGACAGTCCCTGCATGTAAACTTACAGTCTTTAAAGACATGACACAAAGTTGAAAAAGATGGGGTGGGACAAATGAACAATGCACACACTAATTTCTTAATTGCAAAGTTCATCAGGCAGCAATTCCAGTCATGTTGCTAGATCTATGCACAGTGAAATATAGGTTTGTCATCTTTATTATCAACAGAATCCGGTGCCTCTTTCAGCTGCATCACAGGTGATAATATAAAAGATACAGTTCTGCGCAGCATGGAGATGTAGCAGAAAGGAAAGCTTTGCCTGTTGCTCCTCTACGTGTAATGCAGCTTCCAAGAACAAAATAATGCTGTGAAAGCAAAATGGTTGGCGAACCCCATTCCTTTGTTGCAGTGCTAGCAGGGTGTCTGCAAGAAATATTGTTTAGTGAAAACTGTTTCTGTTCTCATAATGATTGTTCACTTGAGAACCCTCCACCATCTTATCATCTACTACATTTGATGGCAGCAGGAAAAAAGGAAGATTTGATGTGAGATACATTGACTCAATAAAGAAAGCTACTGTCTTTAATTTGCAAAATCTCCTTAATGTTCATGATAGACCCTTTTGGTGGTAATTAGGCAGGAAAAAAGGAAGATTTGATGTGAGATAGAGTGACTCAATAAGGAAAGCTACTGTCTTTCATTTGCAAAATCTTAATGTTAATGATAGACCCTTTTGGTGGTAATTAGCTACAATCCTATTGGTTTTGAGCAATGAAAACCTAAAATTGCATCAGTCATTTTAGCTGCCAGTCATACACTCACACACATACATAGGTGATGCATTTGATTGTAATTGAGACAGAAGGACAAAAAATGGAAAAATACTTGAACACTTTTTTTCATGTGCACAATATTTTGCAATAGGATTCTGGCTATTTTATAGGGTCATCATGAGTTGGAAATGATGGCATATAACCGCATCCCTTTACTTACTGCATGAAGATGGCATTTACAATAGGAAATAGAATACCTGCATGAAAAATGAGTGTTTTGGGATTCAGAATATTTGTTGTATTTAGTTGTTATATTCCTCAGCAACATCATAATGCAGAAGGTTGCTTTTAAACATGTGTAACTCCTATGGATTATTTCATTTTGTCCAGTAGATGGCAAAATCATTAGATGAGGGCTGTGAGAGTTGGACAAGAAAGGAGCTTCCATTCCCTTGGAAGCAAGAATTAATTTCTTGTCTTCTTGACATAAGTAAGAGAATGTCAATAAATGTGCAAGGGAGAGGATCCTTGTAGTTACAGTATATTTGTACCTATCCTTGTATTCCTTTTCTCAGCCATGCATTCTTGTACAAATAAAATAAAAAAGACTTTTGAAAGACATAACTGTTTTGAGATTAGACTTCTACAAAAAACTTTGTTTTCTGCAGGTGACTGTTGCTCTGGCACCTTGATAGTGCATGGTAGCATCCAATTTGGGCTGAGTTTGTATTATTACTGTTGATAGTTTTTACTTGGTTAAAAAAATCAAGTATTTGCACAATTTATTTAGAAAATAGCTCAAAAGAACCAAGAGAACAGTTCAGAGGCCCAGTGGAACTTTGTAACAGCATCAGGCCAACGCTTACATGAGAAGCATATCAAGACGTCAAAGGAAAACTTGCTAACACAAAGGCACACTATTTTCATAATTATGCTTATTTTATTCCAGTCTTCCTCTCTAAACTCTAAAGTACATAGAGAGACTGACATTTTCCTTTTATCTTTATAACAACTTTCTGAGGTAAGCCAGCCTCTGACAAAGGAGCATTCCTAGGTTAGCTTGGTTTATGGAGAGAGCAGGGGGTGGCACCGCATCACAACATTTCGTCCCACCTCGCCTTCTGCTAATACGAGCTACCTAGGCTTCGTGGGTGAGAGACTAGACTCAGGATCCCTCATACGCCACACTGGTTGTAAAGGAAGCCAACCTACACCCTGACAAGCCCAGGGCAGAGATTAGATTTCAGAGGGTCTACCTCGGATTTAAGCACTTTCGACAGTTGTTGGGACTACAATCTCCAGAATCTTCCGCACACATCGCGTGGGAACTCTGGGAATTGTAGTCCACTATCCGCTTGAACGGCGGGCGGAGACGGAGAGGAAGGTCCACCTCCTCTGACGTCACGAGGAACCCTGCTCTCGAGACGTACGGTAGTGGCAGGGCGGAGCCAGCGTGGCGCAACGGGCACGGAAGGGGGGGCTCTGTTATGGGTACGCATGCGCTGCTGGCTCTTGGGTGGCTGTTGGTCCAAGAAGGTTAGGGCCGCTAAGGGGTGAGTAATGTGACCGTTAGGTGCCCGGAGGGGGGGGGGGCGCGCGTGAGGGGGTGCGTTTGTGAAGGAGAAGGTGCTGCGTTTCCCACACGCCCTCACTGGGAGACCCTGAGAGCGTGGGGCGGGGAGTTGTGAGTCCCCCACACACTCCCGACGGAGCCTTTTGCCCTGCAAGCTACCCTGTGTAGTCTCCACACAGATACGATTTCCCCTTTCTTCCATATTAGCAGGTATTTGAGTACCGTCCGTTCCCCCTTCAGGCCTTGCGTAAGTAGCCGGTTCCCTCCGTTACTCATATGAGGGAAGGGAGAGGGGGTCCAAAGCCGCGGTCCTCCTAGACCAGGCCCGAAACGCTTTGCTTGCAAACACAAACACCCCTTTCTATGCCACAAAACACCCCCCTACCTGCTTGCCCGTAGGCACGCATGCGCAGCAGCACATGTATGAGGCGATGTGTACACACGCTGGGGTTTTGAGTCTTCCTGATTCTTAGGGCAGAACAACCTGGCACTGGAAAAGTAGCATCCTCGTCTATAGCATGAAGGCAGGAAATGTGCTTCTGGGAGTCAGAAAAGTCAACGTTCCCGGATGTCGAGATGAGAGGAGTCCTGGATGGGCATAAGGCAGGCCTTAAAGCTTTATCTCCTTCCTTTCTCAGATTCTGCAGAGCAGTGTTAGAAACCTCTAGGTTCTGTTTAAAGATGCAAATACTTGGCATACGTAGTTGATTGGTCTTTTCTTTCTCCTTCAGAAACCTATGAACCATGGGGCAAAGAATTTTGCACTAACCGAAGATGGAATAGCTTCTTTTCATTTCTTGTTCCAGGAGAAGTCATTTGTTTTCCTACTGCTTGGTGTCTGTATTTATGAGACACAGTCACTTGCCAAGAATGCAAAAATGCAGCTGATGCCTTACTGGAACCTCTGTACTTCTGGGGAGTAGCAACCTGACCTTGCTTCACTTCAAGCTATTTGTCATTTATTTTTCCTTTTAAGGTTGATTTGATTTTCAAAATTCAGTAGATATTTGTCTTAAAGGCACGACTAAACAAAGGAAATGGAGGAAAAGGAGCGATGTGATGAATTCTGACATTGTACTATTAAAAGCCATGTAAAATATTTTTGAAGAGGGACCAAGGGAAAGGGAGAAACATACTAAAAACACTTTATTTGCCAGCTAAAGGAGGTGGGAGGGTGGGTGGAAGATGGTTCGAATCTTCAGTTTGCTTTTTGCAGCCATCCAATCAATTCTTAAAAGAAGACAGTAGACTTGCCACCTGTGTGACCTGGTATTGCCTGTAAAGGAAGTGGCCATTTGAATTTTTTTCTTCATAAACTTTTATCATTGCTTATCTTCACATCCTACACTACGAGAAGAAAATGAGTTGTGTGCCATGGAAAGGTGACAAAACCAAAACGGAATTGCCAGAAACCCCACAACTGATGCCAGTCCACATTTATCATGAAAAGCAACGCAAGGAGCTGTGTGCCCTCCATGCCCTCAATAATGTCTTCCAGGATGGCAATGCCTTCACGCGAGATACTTTGCAGGAGATTTTCCAGAGGTAGGAAGAATTTGATCTTCTGAGCATAGTGAGGAAGTGGGAAGGTTTTTGTTTGTTAGTCCTTTCTTTGATTAATGTGGAAGTTCATTGTGAGTGGTGGTAGACAAGTAAGCACCCAGAATCATTGAACAGTGTTCTTCTAGTGACAGTTGGCTGAAAAGATGGTTTTCCTCTCCCATACAGTTTGCATTTGTCTGTTGATCTGTCTGATTAACCTCTAACCAAGACATAAATCCATTCAGGGACCATGCTGTATATTTTTAATATGTACATATAACAATTTCCATGCCACAAACACATATTCTCCTTAAAAAATAGATATGTGCACATCACAAATGATGAGCCAGGGGTTCACTGTAGTTTTCTGCTCATGGGAAATGACACTAATTCATGGCATTAGATACAATTTTTGCTGTCATCTGAAATGTGAGATGGACATTGTCCCTTGTTTAATAATTAATAATACTTGCATGCTGCTAAATCAATTCTGACTGACCCTTTCCAGAATTTTCTAGGTATCACCTACTCAGGAGTGGCTTATCACTCTCTTCTTCTGAGTGCACTCTGAGGCTATGCATCTTGCCTAAAGCTACACCAGCTGGCTCATTTCCTGGTAGGCATAGTGTGAAATTCAACTCCCAGCCTCTGGCTCCACAGCCAGATACTGGTGCTAGTAAATTGGTGGTCCATAACCTTGTCTCTCACAGCCCACTATTTGGAAATCACTGTCTTCTGACAACTATCACATTCTACACATACTCAGTTCAGCTGCATGTGTTGCTTCCAAGGTTCCCGCTAAGCTGGGCACGCGCACAACCTCGCTTCCCTCTCTTCCTTCTCTGCGCAGTGATCGCACTAGGTTCTGGTCGCAACAGAACCCAGTATGTGTGGGAGGCAGAGTTGTGCACGCACACAGGGGAGAAGCAACGAGAGTGAAAGAGAGAGGTGGAGCCCTGCCTAGTGAGGCTGAAAATTAGAGAGTACATAGGTTGCTTCTATCAAGTGTCGAATAAAGCTTTCCTGGTTGAGTTACTTGTGTGTTCTATGCTTCCTGCAACCCCCCAGTAGAACAGCAGTATCCTTAAGAATGCCATGAATAGATCCAAGAATTGAAGACTGAAAATATGTTAATATGCAACCTGAAATTCTCAGTCATCTTTTTATACCCACAATCTTATGTGCACTTAGAAAAGCAAATGTTTAACTGATATTGAACTGGGAAAGTTGTTACTTTTGAGGAAATGAACATGATTATGCTGTAGTTTTTAGTTTTTTCAGCTGATCTGGAGAATAAATAACCTCCTGCCACACCAGAGGATGTAGTCCTGTGCTACTTCCTGATGTTTCTCAGTTGCTTATTTTCTTTGATAATCCTTTTAATTTTACTGTTACTTTCTCAAATGGGTTGAAGTAAATACCCATCATCTTCCTGGTGCCCTTGGTTCCTCAGAGAACAGGTGCCATTGTCTCTGGAGAAGGAAGATTTTTTGTTGGAATTGTTTTTAAAATAAGTTCCGTATGCCAATCCGGACTACAGATTAAAATTAGAGATGGGGGTACTCATATGATGTATGATGTATGACCCTTGCACAGGTGGACATAACGAGGGTCCATTCCCCTGGTGCCAGACTGTCCACTCACCTTCCGCTGTTGCTATGAGCTCTGCGCTCCCTTCTTATTGCTCGATTTCGCGGTCTGTGAGCTACTCTTCAACCTTGCAGTGAGGCTCGTCCTCCCACCTCCTGTCAGGAGTGATAGGAAGGGAGCATGGAGCCCGCACCAACAGTGGAAGGTGAGTGGACAGTCTGGCCCCAGGGGGTTGGACCCTCATTATGTCCAACTGAATACTCCCATCTCTAATTAAAATCATTGGAACCCCACTCAGTTCTCGTGACTGAGGTTTGAATGAGCTACTTGGCATCATTCAGAAAGCCCTTGATTTTGCAGAAACTACACTTTGAACAGGATGTATTTTCAGAGATCCCATCAACAACAGTTTAGAATTTTATCAATTAAAAATTTAGAAAGAACTCTCTTGCACTAAATAGAGTTCTTGTCAGTGTTTAATATAATTAAAGTTGATTCTTGTTGCTTTTGAAAGTTATGATATCCTTCCCCCCCCACAAACACTTTGTAAAAGTTTATTGACCTGTTTTATATGATAGTATTTTGTGAAGAGGTGTAAAGTATTTATTTTTCAGTCTTCCTGGTAGTGAGAACGACAGAGCAGGGAAGAATGCTGTGTTCCCTTGCTACAAATAAAAAAAATATAGCTGATTATTTATTACCTCTTGTTTTTGTCCATCTGCAGCCTTGTTTCCTTGATTCCTGACATACACTGTTATTGTATATATCTGTGCAATATTTTTATGTTCAGGTTGTCTCCCAACACCATGGTGACCCCACACAAGAAGAGCATGCTAGGAAATGGAAACTATGATGTGAATGTCATCATGGCAGCTCTTCAGACCAAAGGTTATGAAGCAGTTTGGTGGGATAAGCGCAGGTAAAGAGAATCATGTGTCAAGAAAGATTTATTTCTTTATTTACAATATTTTAAAATAATTTGCCATTGGAAGTGGCTGCTTGCACCTTAAAGTTAGAGCTGGATGTGTAAGCCTTAAGATTTCTTTCTTCACTCTTTCTTTGTTCAGGGATGTTAATGTGATTGCCCTGCCTAATGTGATGGGGTTCATTATGAATCTTCCCTCAAGTCTCTGTTGGGGCCCACTGAAACTTCCTCTAAAACGGCAGCATTGGATCTGTGTCCGGGAAGTGGGAGGTACCTACTATAACCTTGATTCCAAACTCAAGGTGCCTGAATGGATTGGAGGTGAAAATGAGCTCAGGTAGGTTGTTTTCCATTGTAGCCTATGATAAGGGTGCTGCCTTCTGCATGCATTGTAAACCAGGGCACATTCTGTATGGCATGCTGTAAATTTGACCATTTAGATGTTGTGAAGAGAGAAGTGTTCCCGCAAAGTTAAAGGAACCAATATGTTCCTTGGGTTGGAATTTATCCTTGAACTTTCCCCCAAGAGATGAAAGAGCATCATGAATATAAGATCCAAAAGTTGTTAGGCACATTTCTTCTTTTTCTAATGATCATTTCCCCTGTCTTTGGCTAGAGCAATGAGTATATTTTTAGCTTTTCTAAGATTCTTTGTTATGAATTTTATACTGTTCAGCATGTATCGGAAAGACCCTTGTACTGTCATTGCTCCTGTGATTTAAAAGATGGAAGTTTTCAAGTATGGTTTCCCAAAGCTCTGGCTCTTCACTGGGATTCTAGGTGCTGCTTTCACCATCCAAATCCCAGACACTGCATCACTGACATCTCATTATTATATTTTTAAACTGTTACTGATTGATACATCACATAGAAACTATTCATGATTTTATAACTCTTAAAATTTGTCTTAATAGTAATAATTCTTTGAGAGGCAAGTCTGTATTTGTATCGCCCATGGCGCTGGTTAGTTTTGAAACAAATTCTAAGAAACCAACCCTCTGGCTTGTATAACTGTATAGCTTCTGCTCAGTCACAATGGCTCTGGAAAGGTTACAGCAGGTATGCAGAGGATGTGCAATATACCTTAATAACTCTCCATATAGTTTAAAGAGCAGAAATGATCACCTCTATTTGAATTTTATTCCCCAAAAGCCAGTTCTCCAGGCAAGGAAGCCCTGTTATATTTTCAGAAGACTCTGTGCTTTGGATTACAGTAAATCTCCAACTACGATGACATTGTGTAATGGGATGATTGGTGCTATATAGTAATAGATCTGGCCGGAGAAAGTACCCATAGAACATAACATATAGGGGGAAATTGTTTTAAATAATCCTTTCAGTAAATAGGCCTCAAACCTTATGTCTTTGCAAATAAAAATGGTATCTGATTTGTTCATAGGGCACTCAAGAGAAGCTGACATGAACTCAAGTATGCAAGATAACTTGACCTATGTTGCCTCGTATTTTCTCTCTTTTTTCCCACAGGAAGTTTTTGCGACACCAGTTGCGAGGAAAGAACTGTGAACTTTTATTGGTGGTGCCTGAAGAGGTGGAAGCACATCAGAGTTGGAGAGCTGATGCATGATCTGCAAATACCCTATCCTCACACTACAATACTGGTCCCTGTCTCCCACCAACTTCCAGTGTCCTGTGATGTGGATAATAAGCACTCTAAACTCCTCCTCCCAGGAACTCCAGAGAGTACTTCTCCCATTATGAAGGTGCAGTAAGGCAGCCACAAGGTATCGTCAGGTTTGGCATAAATGAGGGGAGAAGCTGAAAGGTGAAAGAGACTGGTCTGTGCTCTTAATTATAAGGCATTGTGCGATTCAGAAATGGGGTGTTGGAATCCTCCCCTTTGATTTCCATTTGTCCTTTCTTCCCCAGTCGTTAAAGATTTTATAGTGGGTTGTACACTACTGTCTCCAGGAGTCCTAAAAGTTAATTTGGCTGGATGGTGTCTTCAGGTCAGGGCTGGGGCCAACCCATTTCTCTGTATTAACCAAACTATGTTGAAGAAATGTGCAAATCACATGGGTCTCTCAGGAAACTCTGGATACTCTTAGCAATGGCATGGTGTTTGTGGATTCCCTTTTTGTAACAGTAATTGTGCCAAGAATGAGGGGATATGTAGACAAAATGGGACCATGATTATGGAACTCCCTACAGGAGCTTGGGGTTTTCCTTTCTCATACTCTTTGCTATCAATATGCCCTTTATTGATGTGAGGATGAAGGACTGAATAGATTGGGGAAAAGAGATAATAGAAGCTTATATAAAAGCCTCAACTGTTTTTGTTAGGTGGGCTAGATGTAGCCTTTGTATATTTTTCTTGTCTGTCTGTCCTGTAATTCAGGGAAAAAACTCACTGAGCAGGGAATAAAACTATAGGCTGTTTGAGAGTGGAATCATGAAATAAAAGGAAGCTGAAGCCATGTTTCAGTAAGGTAGGAAGCTGGTAGGAAGGTAGGTGTTAATTTTAAAGATGGGTTATAGAGAACAAGATCCAAGGGCTAGATCTCTATGGCTTCTGTAGCAACTGTGAGTAACTGGAGTAGAGTGTTTAAGCAAGTCTGGTGGTATGTGTGTGTGGGGGGGGCTCTGCAGTAGGTGAGCTGAGCCACATTCTTCCATTGTGATTGGCAGGTAAACAGTCCTTCCCTCACCTAATTAGTGAAAGAACTGAAGATTAGCAGGAAGCCAAATTTGTTTTCCTTGTCACCTCATCCAGCTGTGGTATATCATTTCTTCTTTTCACAGTTGCTAGAGGAAATGCAGGGGTTTAACTGGCCTTTCAAACCATTGACTTCCTTTTGAGCCCAGGTTATCCTACTGTTACATTTTTTGTAATTGCTTTTTGCCAGCTTAATTTACATTAGTATTGGAACAGCAGAACTACCACTCTTTCTGCACTTCATTATAGAGGGACAATTTATGTGATTAGTTACATAAGGGGGAGGGGGCTGAAAGTGACTTCATTTGCAGGGATGTCTCTAGTCTACCCCTTCTGCATACGAGCACGATAGACCCCTTCTAAGCCAGCATTCCAAGAACCCAAACTCTTTCACAGTTAAATGCAGTGTGAGCAACATTAAGATCCATCTTATTTATCAACTTCTCGACAATCTGAAGGCATTGTACTGGAAACCTAAGTTGGCTGTTCTCTGCATGTACTAAAGTTCAGACCTAATACTTCTATTTTTACAGAAGCCTTCTCCTTTTTTCTGGACCATACATTCCAATGACCAAAACCAGCTGGCAGAATTTATACACACATACACATACTTCTCACAGGCAGAACATCAGGCTTGCAGTTCTGCTTCTAACTTGAAGCCATTTGTACCAATGTTTTTTAAAAAAATCAGAAAAGACTTTTGTAAATGCTGACTAGAATAGCACTTTGGAGAGACCCTGTTTGCATGGAAGCCAATGGACCAGTGCACAATATGCAAATATCTTTTAAAAACTTCAGGCTGTTTTTCTCTTCTCTGCTTTTTATGCTGTTGGTCTGTCCCTAAGGGAAAGTGATGTGATTCAGCAGCTCAGGAAAAGGGAACATGAGATCACACACTCCTCTGGACCAGAGTTATGGCAACAGAGGAGAGAAACCAGTCCCATCCCATTTCTTGGGAATGGAGAAGCCCATTACTGTTTTCTTGCTTGTTTGGTTTTGTTATAGCCTTGTCTTGGGTTTGTTTACAGAGATGTATTTTGTTTAACCAAATATTAAAAATAAGAAACCTTTCTTTGTGTCCTGTCACTTCTGCATGTTAATGTAATGATGTATTCAAAGGGAGGAAAATAAATACAGGTTGCTATGAAGTATTCTTAAGAAATCTTCTTGCTCTCTGTAGCTGGGAAAGGGGAGGGAGCTCCTCAGGTATCTTCTAGCCTTCACTACAGAAGACACACATGTAAAGCCAAGATCCATAATTATACTGGTAATCTTAAAGCAAGATGTAAATTAAACCTTAGATAAGAAAACACTTCAGATTTGCACTGAAACTATTTAATTAAAAAGTGCCATAGCTGACTTTTATATTAATAGATTCAGCACAGGAAGTTAGCAAAAATGATTTTTCCTCTCTCTTATTTTTGAAACATATTGTAGGTTACAGCTTCAAACAGGAGCTCTCACCACAGAGTTTAGTGTACATTGCACTCTTCTATGTGCTGCTACTCCATTTCTTGCTCTTACTGCTCTAAAATAGATCTTAGATACAGCAGGAGAGGGACACAAGCCTATTTACACTGATAGTTTTACTGAATAAAAGTGACCAGCATCTGACATGTCCTGAGTGGCTTCCTAGAATTAGGGATACCAAAACAGAAGCTTTAAGTCTCTGTAGTTGCTTATAACAGCGATTTACTGGATAGATGAAAAAGTAATACCCCCCATCCCCAAGAGAAGAAAGACCATTTCAGGAGATTCAGATTAGGATTCTGCTTCCACTGAGATTAGGTAAATGTCCCATGGTTTAAAGAAAAGCCGAAGCCTAATCCAACAACAGTTCCAATATAAGATTTCAGAACTTCTTCAATAATAATCACTCCAGCAGGTTTAGTTTCATTAAATCTTTCCAGGGAGGGAAGGCAAAGCACCTGGCATTCCTCCAGACAGCCCTGTATTGGGTCCTAATAAAATCTGTAACAAATGAAAAAGTGTCAGAATAGCTAAAAAGCAAAAACAGTGCTCAACTACAGTATTTGCAACTTACAGAGGGATTTTCACCTCAGATTTAATGGCTGAAATCTGATGGTAAGTTACAACTAGAGGAGGGTGGTTGAATCAGTGGGGATTTTAGAAATCACCTCCTTTGTAGGTTCCATTGATTCTATGGGCCCACTCTAGCTGTAACTTACTACTGGCTTTCAGCCAATGTTGCAGGTTCTTCTGTTTTCCTTTTGCTCATAAATATAAAACTAGTATGGCTGACATTCCTCAATGTTCTTTGGTATTTTTTATCAGAATAATGAAGTTCTGCATTCAATTAAGCAGACAAGGCTGCTTTGGTAACATTAGTAAGGTCAATCTGAAAAAATTCCTGGTGCCTGAAGCAATACAGTATTATTAAATATCTGTTGTATGGTCAAACCTAGCTTATATTTTTGTGTTTTTCAAAGAGAACTATTAGTCAATGCAGAAATTTAAAGCAGCTTTGCAATAATAGGTTTCAGTGTTTTGACCTCCAGCAGGTGTCTTAAGAAATTTTTCTTTTGACAAGGATGACAGACACATTGTTCTGCAGTTTTTATAAAAAGACAGTGCTTGTCGTCACAAAGAAAGAAGGAAAAAAGCCAGGGTCATACTCAAAACACTCATGTCAATAAGGCACTATGAATAATTCTTGGTAATTCAAGAGGACATGCTGCAGTACATTAATAACTGGCTAGGGAGGCCCAAGCTAAGTATCATCACAGATATCCTTTGCAGCTTATCTGCTTTTGTAGGAATTAAAAATGAAACACTATCCAAACAAGTCAGTCTACATAAATATTTTGTACTCTTTCACCTAATTTAAATATTTTGATTAAATAGGCTAGGACAAAGGAAAAAGAGATGCAGACATTTACCCTATCTTGCATCAGCAGTTGAAGTAACTATATAGGAGTGATGTTGGTTATGTTTACAAAAGAGAAAAAAAGCTAGTAAGGGTAATTGCAAGTTGGCACAAATACAAGTAGCAAAGGGATTGCAGATGTATCCACTGAAGAAAGGAATATGGAACTGTTTAACTGGATGCTTTGACAGCTAATTAAAATCACTTTCCAAAGATCAGATACACTGGGGGTGAGGAGATCTACAGGTAAAAAACTCATTTTGGAAAAACATGAGAACTACTGAATTAAAACACTACAGGAGACCATTTAAATCTCACCTGCCGTTGTTGCATCTGCTGCTGTTGCTCCATCTGCAATTTCTCCGTTTCAAAAACAACAGGAAGAACTAGGATCATGAAGGACGTCGTCCCAATCCACAAAGCTGCCCTGGAGAATCTTTATAGGGGGAGAAAGCCAAAAGCAATTTTGTCCCCATCCTTCTACCCATTACCCTGTTTCCCCAAAAATAAGACCTAACCTGAAAATAAGCCCTAGTATGATTTTTCAGGATGCTTGTCATATAAAGCCCTATCTCAAAAATAAGCCCTAGTTAAGTGAAAGCCTGCCTTCCACCATTGTGCAGCAACCAGAAGATCACATGACTGTATTTGAATAAATGTAGATTGTTGTACATGAAAAAAAATAAAACATGCCCTGAAAATAAGCCCTAATGCATTCTTTGGAGCAAAAATTAATACAAGACCTTGTCTTATTTTTGGGGAAACACAGTATTCTGAATATCTCAACTGTGTTGTGAATAATGCTATTGCATTCCTTCATATGATCAATCCTGACGCTGTAAGTCGAGGGTCCACTGTATTGCATTCCTTCATATGATCAGTCCTGAGACCTGTACAATATACTTCATTATTTTTGCTTGCAACTACAAAAGCTCCAAAACATCTATCCACTGTAATTTGAAATATTTCAAGGCCTTCTAACCAAAATTCCAATTGATCAGACCATAAATGATTTCTAAATCACGCAATAAGCATGAAAATAAATATTCTAATATACCAGTTTGTGCTATCATTCGATTTTTGATGTTTCATCAAATTTGAAAGTAATTTCTTCTTGAAGATGTTTATATATTAAATTAGTGACAAATTAGGAATTTAAGCATGATGCATTTTGATAGCTCACACACCAAACCAGTGTTCAAATCTTTCCAAGGGTTATAAATTTCATTACTGAAAAGGCTTGGATTCTAGTTCACATGGGTTTATTTTCTGTAATTGTGGGCAGAGCACCACAACCTAATTTGGATGAAATAAATTGTTTGGTGTAATGCAGCCTTCCCCAATGGGGTACTCTCCAGGTGTTTTAAAACACAGGTATCTTAACTGGTAATGATGTCTGATGGTTTACCTCTAGCCTAAAAAACATCTGGTGGATGCAATTTGGAAAGACTGGTATGATGAATCACATGTTTAGCAAATGTATTGACATGACATACTTACATTTCTCACTATTCATTTTGTGTAGCAGTGTATTTTCATTTAAGAAATTAATAAAAAATACATAAAACACGCAATCTTATCTGAGAGCTGAAGCAATTTCATCACAGAACATTTGTGACTTAGAACATAATAAACGAAGTTTTTAGTCTTGGAAGCATACTCAGACGAGTTCTCTAAAATAAAATTTTCTCATAGGCAATGAATAAACAAATACGTATAACAAATCTTTCTTTCCCTTGCAGCCTTAGTTTCTGATCTTTGTCTCATCATCTCCAGCAAACACCACCAAGTATCAGACCTAAGTATGGGTAACTTAGGATCCATGATTCCCTATCACTACTACCTTCTTATGTACCTGCATATACTGTATAGGCACTGTTGCATTCTCAGACATTTCATTTTATATTCCACTCCAATGGTTTTCTTTCTTACGTGTTCGGTTTAGCACACTGGGTTCTAATTATCCAAATAGTATAAGGTAATTTTTAGTCTCAGAGTAATAACTGTGGTTTGCAAACAGTATGATTCACCTTTCTCCCCAAAATTGCACCGCTCACTCACATCTGCACACGTTCCCCGAGTTGCAGGGATCACAAAAGCCTCTTACCTGTACATTTTCTGGGCGACAGAAAGGGAGACGTCAAAAGTAGCTCCAGCGGCAGATCGGATGCTCTCGGGGAACATCTCTGTCAAGCCCCAAAGCCTTTCTGCTAGCGTTTCATCGAGCTGTAAACATGGGGTTGAGAATAAAAACGAGGGTGGGTGGTGGTGGAGAAACGAGGGCACCATAAAATCCTACCCACCGTCGAACCCGGGCAACCGCAACTGAGAATGAAGGTCGCCAACGCTGCCCTCTCTCAAGCCTCTCGCCTCCGCCCCACCAGCCGCAGGCCTTCTGCCCCCCACGAAGGAAAACCACGCTGACTCTCCCACTGACTCCCTCCAGGCTCCCGCACACGGGCTCAAGGCCAGGCCGTCCCGCCCACCGGAGGAGTCACCTCGCACATGGCCCGGCCCCGGGGCGCACGCCAAAGGAAGCCCCACTGACCTCGTCGTCCTCCTCCTCGATCTCCTCTTCCAGCTCCTCGGCCTTCCCAGAGCCGCTCTTGGCTAACAGCAGGTCTTCGGGAGACAGAGGCGTCGCGGCAGCCATGACCCTAAGCAGGCGGGCGGGAGGGGGGACGCGGAGAGAGACACGGAACGCCGCGCCTTGAGGACCGGGAGCCGGAAGAACGCTACCGGAAGTGGAGGGAAGTGCTGCGAACTGCGCAGCAGCGGGAGGGCTTCGAGGTTGCGCCGCGACACCTAGCGGCGAGGAGGAAGAACTGGAAGGAAAGCGGCTGCCCCTCGTTCGTTTTTTTGTTGGGAGGTTTACCCCCGGCTCAAGAATGGTTTTAGCGGAACTCAGCGGGCCGCGGAGGGCGGGACAGTTTGGCGATCGCTCATTCCTAGGATCGCTGTAAGTCGGAGGCGACTTGCCGGTACACGATAACAACTAAAATGATTATCTGCAATAAGAATAGAGCAATCACGACAACATCGGACTGGGATGCATTGTATTATTTATTTCCACGTGGGACCTGTAACAAAGTGTTGCAGTTCTGCTTCTGATCATTTCAGGGAGCCGTGCTCTTCTTCTCCAGAATAAAGGGCTCACGAAAGGCAAACTGTTCTTATTTTCCAACTGTCCAAGCTAATTGGCATGCTCAGTTCTTATTGGGCAGGATGTTTAAGAAAAACTTTTTTAAAAGGTTTGTTGTTATTGTAAACCATGCATTGATATTTTTCGCTTTCTAGTGATCCCTTTGGCACATTTTCTGTTAGCGTTTTTTACCCCTTTGCCCTCCGTTTTGTTAGATTAATTTTACATTAATTTTATAATGTTCCAATCTATAAGAAGCGTTTACGCTAGCTAAGGTGCCCTGAGATACATTTTTGCGGAGACAGTGACTGATCCAAAGTGAACTCAATGACTGACTGTGAAGGAGCTCAAGGGAGTGCGCGGTCCTCCACTAAGAAAGAAGACATAGAGGAAGGAGGATGTGTGGAAGGGGTGCTAATAGAACTGGACCAGACTGAGGTGGTGGCTGAAAGGGCTGAGGAGGTGTGTCTTGTTGAGGAAGGAGGGGAGGAGTTGGATTTAATTATATGGGAAGATATAAAAGAGGAAAAAAGCGCGCGGGAGTTTAGAACTTGGACAGACTTGAATCCGGACAGACCAAGGCATAGAGGGGTGCAGACTGAGCCCATTCTCGGCCAAAGTCCAAGAATTGATGCGACACCGGGATTTCCTAATTTAATGACTGGAGGTGGACTGCTCCCAGACCCGTCCCCTACGGGAATCAGAGGTAGAGTCATTGAACCCCTGGAATGGAAAGTATCGGTTTTCCCTCTGAATTACCCTGGGGGCGGGCGGCGTGTGATTCGTCCCGGGCCGGAATATCAGAAGAAGCCCTTGGAGGGCGATTGGGCCCGCCACCCGTGCTGCGGCACGGTTTGCGCTGTGAGGAGCGCGCCTTTGCGGCAGATGACAGACTGGGAGAAGTTTGGGCCGGCTCCCTTTTAGGGAGTCAAGCCGCAGTACCTATTGTTCGCCCTAAAAAGTATAATCTGTTGCCGGATCATTTGTTACAGGATCCGTTTGATCCTTGTGAGTTGGAAGCCACATGCTGATACTGTGGGCAGATGTTTGAGAAATGTAGATTGTGGAGTGATTCTGTGAGCCTCTGAAACACAGCATGCATGTCTTCTGAATGAATTGTTCCATCATGTTTACATTTTCACTGCACTCTTTGCCTGGGCCCGCCTTCACTACAAGTGCCCCCCCCCCACCGGAGAAGGATTTTCTTACACTGACTGAGGAGTTAAACTCAGATACTTTTAATATTCTGATATTCCTAGTGTTAAAACAACATTTTAACCTCTAAATCTGGTAATGTCTTGGTAAATTTGGAAATCCAGATACTGATAAAGCCATGTCCACAAGGAAAGTCTAAAAATACAGGCCTGGTTTATTAACAAATGAATTTTAGCAGTCTCTCCCCACCAGGAGCAGGTCCTCTGGGTGGATCATTCCAGTGGAAACAAATTAATACTCCTGTTTAACCAGCTTTACAGTCCCAATAAAATTTGTATCATTGCTTGTTGATTATCTGATGCTAAGTGAAATGCAACGGATACTAAATTCACATCTGTTGACTGGAAAGTATGTCTTTCCAAATCAAGTTATTTATCCCAGCTGAAAAACCATTCATAGGTTTGGCTGATGGTACTTTCTTGCTCCTTTGTAAGGGACACTGCAATCCTCACTTGTACTCTGGAACTTCATATAAACATTCCTGATTTGAAACTCCAAATTACAGTCAGCAGGAAGCATTCCTCCACCTCTCCTACTTTGATTTAAACACAAACTCTGGTGCTTCCAACCATACATGACATTAAGCCCTAGAGCAAAGAAAGTACAGCAGATGAGCTGCACCACATTCTGGAAGGCACATTAAGACTTACTATATAAAAAAGCAAATATCGAAGCCCTGTGGCACTAGCCTTTCCTAAGAGTAAAAATCCATAAAATACAAAAGAAAATATCTGTTAGCACTCACTGTCACAATTCCATGTGGCCCCTGATTATTTCACCAACCAAAGAGCTCATGCTACGTGCCCCTCAGCTGCCACCAGTCAATTTCATCAACAATACTTATTATTAATAATTGAGTTCCAGGCCATATGTCATTTTAAAAGAACCAAATATAAATTGTTTATTGATACAGGTGTTGACAGAACAAGCGATTTTGTTAACTCTTAAACATTCTTCTTTATCCACCCTCAGCCACCACTCTCCCGCCCAAACTCCATAACTCAACTTTCTAACACTCTAATTCTCCATCTCAAAACCCTATCTACAGTATGTCTATCTAAACTCCTCCTCCTCCTGCTGAGTCTTACACTTCCTGACTCCAGCGCCCTCCCTTCGGTCTATGCAAATAGCATATGAATATTCATGACCTGGGCAAACACCACACTCACGTTTAGTTTTTTCTAGGATTAGTTTTTGCCTGTGTTAATCCTATCAAGACTATATTTTTTTAAAAATTATCCACTGTAGTATAAACAGAATGTGTAATAAAACAAATGTACAAACACACATGAAGGCAACAGAAGTGGTACTTGCCAACTTTTATTTTAAAAGTAGAAAAATAGACGTATAGATCAATTTAACCCAACATTCTACTATACAGGAATAAGAACTGAAGGGATGGTTGTGCAAAAATTATATTTACTTGAAAAAAAGAAGAAATTAACTACAAAGAGATGCTAAACCAAAAACTAAAAGTGGAACAAACAGACAGAATTAATGAAGCACTCCGATTATAGCAACAGGAGTAAAAATCGAAGAGAATCACCTGCTCAATGTGGGGACCGTCATATCAATGCCACAATACAGCACTGGACTGGATAGGACAAGAAAGTCAACCAGTATTTCATATTTCTGTCTAATGCATTTCTTCTGTAAGTCCCTCTGCTACAGAATAAATACAGCTATTCTAGATGGCTACAAACTGATGATCATATGTGACTTTAAGAACTGATTCTGAGGTGTTCCAGACTGTTATGGTAACTTCATTCATCAATTGCTTTTTTGACTAGCAAGCACTGCAAATCTTAAGGGAAGGGCCATCTCAGCCCCACTATGTTTTTTATTAGCTCATTGGCACAAACTAAAATCCAGGACTCTGTTTTAACAAACATTAAATCCTAGGTTTCAAAGATACATCAGACAGCCCATCAAAAAGTGGATTGGAAAGAGATGTTGAAACAGAAAACCACACAATGGCATGCTCCTGACATTATGGTACAGTCATCAATCCTAGTTTAATACATACAAGCAGCATACACTTGCCTTGTGCAAGAAAATGGGCCAGGAACATATATTACCCCATTATATCTGATCTGTAAACCTAACCATTAAATAATATTTTACAGCTGACTTGTGATTGTGGCTTGTTTGGAAGCAATTACACGGCATGCCAATTTGGACCTAATAGCTAAAATTCTATAACATAAAGTTATGCCACATTAAATCTAATTACATCCTCAGCTATGGCTATATTTTTGCTAATAAAGTTTCCTATTAACCCCTTCCCCCAGAGGTCCCTTGGGATACCTCCCAGAGAAAGGCTTTGGGAAAGTCAGGGGGAATCCTAAACGTTTGAAAATTACTTGTGCCATCATGCACACTATGTCCAGTAGCAGCAATTTTCAGACATTTTAGAGAGTCTAGTAACCTTGTGGGGAGAAGGTGAGGAGGGATAAGAAACTTTTTATTAACAAAATACAGCTACAGCTGATGACACTGTCAGGCTTAAGTTGTGTAGTTTTCCATTACTGGACTTCAGCCAATAAAAGACTGTGTTTGGTGACCTCTCTTGCTTTGCTGTTTGCACACAGGGAAGAGCAAAGTAGATTTCAGAAGGACTGTAAATACACATACACACATGTATATCACCGATTAACCAACCAGAATTCATCATTCAAAAGCTACCAATAACAGCATGGAGATACATACTACAAATTGCTTCCTCCTCCTGTTCTCCATCCTGCTTCAGAATTGTTGCTGCCTTCTTCTTGAGTGAGTGGAAAGAGACACACATTATCTAGAGAGAAAAGTAAATACATGTTGCAGAGATATGTTGACAGCACTTGGATTGATGCTCCACAAGTATAGAAAGAAATAGGATAGCTGCTTCCTGTCGGTACCAGGGGGCTTAGTAATAAATATTTCACACTTGGGATGATGGCTCCATATCCCATTCAGAGGAGAGCTCTGGGAAGATCATAACCAAGATCTTTCAAGGTAGATGCAGCTTCATCAGTTCTGGGTATGATTGCTTTTGACTAGATTCTCTCTTTCTTCTTTTCCTCAAGAGACCTTTCCAAGAGACCCTACTTTCTTATTCATTTCCTTCTTCGGCTATAATTTTTCAGTTCCTCCAGTTCTTTCTCCATGAGGTGAGATTCTGCAGTTGTTTCAGAGAGCTGCAAATGGAAGAAATAAATCACAACGAGTCATTTGCCAATAAATATTGGGCTTCTCAAAGTACAATTCAATGAAGGCCAATCATAATTCTACCTGAAGCTAAGGAACTATGTGTGTATTTGTGGGTGTGCTGAAATACTCTCAAAGTAAAGTTCTAACATTTCCAAGGGCTCAACAAGTAAGACACAAAAAATCAGACAGAGACCTCAGCTTTATTTTTTGTACTACAACTGCTTTTCTGTTTCAAAATGGAATCACTCAAACTGGCTGCCACGATTCCACATGGCCCCTGATTGTTTCACCAACCAAAGAGCTCACGCTAAGTGCCCCTCAGCTGCCACCAGTTGATTTCATCAACAATACCTATTATTAATAATAGATGTCCAGGCCATATGTCATTTTAAAAGAACCCAATAGAAATTGTTTATTGATACAGGTGTTGACAGAACAAGCAATGTTGTTCACTCTTAAACAAGCATTCTTCTTTATCCACCCTCAACAACTCCACAACTATCTCAACTAACACTATAATTCTCCATCTCAAAACCCTATCTAAACCTTATCTATGTCTATCTAAACTGCTCCTCCCCCCCACTGAATCTTATACCTCAAAACTCCGCCCCTCCAGCACTCCCTTATTTTGAAATTGCACACAATTTCCTTAGGCTAATGAAAAATTACCCTAAGTACCAGATGCATAAATGGCTGTGACTAAGCAATGAGTCTGACGGGGAAAGAAAATATTAAGACAGACTTGTGACCGTTATATTATAATTTAAATGCTATAGTGGCCTTTGATAAAGTAGTGCTTCTTACAGTAGTGGCTGGTTTACTTACTTAATGTTAATTCAGTGGTAATTAATGAATTAAATCTTCAAAAATTTGTTGTGCCATTGTTTTAAGTTTTTAGACCATGTTTTTGTTATTTATATTATATTTACTTCTGTGCAGTTTGTTTTAACTCTCTGTAAACAGCCCAGAATAGTGCTTCAGCACTAATGGGGCAGTATATAAATCAAAGTAATTACTAAATTAATAAATACATCAGGATTAAAAAGGGAGGTGAGTGAATCACCTGACACTCACCATATCCAACAAAATATCCACTTTCAGACGAAGGAGATTATTTTCTTCTTCCAGCTGTTGGTTTCGTTTGCGAAGGCGCTGGGTCTCCCTGCGGTCCCCAGTGCCCCCTAATGAATCTAGAAAAGAGAAAGAGGCTGCCACTATTATCACTCTGCACCATAGTGAACAAGATGGCTCAGTGGTGCAATGGGCCTGGCTAGAATTAATGCAGCACTGCTAATGTGCAGATATCCTGGTGAACATTAAGACATACTATGAAATGCTTTCAGCATTAGTGGTTTGATGGTAAAAGAAGAATTCACTTGGAGTCCCTGAGCCAGCAGCTAGGCTAACTGAACATAAATGCCACAATTGGCAAAAGCAAAGACACTCACCGGCAAGGCTCAAAATGCAACACAAAGGGCAAAAGAGGACAGAGGAGGGAAGAGCCCATCATTTCCTGGAATGGAAGTCCAGGTCCCAAAGAACACAGCAAACACAGAGCAGACCATTAAAGTGTAAGAAAAGAAAGAAGTACACCTTCCTTCTTCAGGCTAAACCAAGATAGCGTGCAAAAGGAGCTTAGGGCAGCATCCTCAAAGGCACAGAAAAAGATGGGAAAGTTTCTGCACTCTAGCCATCAGCATTAGTCCTTTCGCTCACCTGTTATCCACTGGCCATTTTCAAACCTCAGACTTTGTCCAGTAAGGGTCATAACAGGAGTGCCATATTCTAGGCCTAGCTCAGTCTCACGAGTAGATCTGTCCAGCTGTAGGAAGAAAAGTTCTGAGTATTACCTTTTAATTCCCACCCCCATTTCATTTCCTTAGGATTTAATGCAGGAGTAGATGAACTCGATGGGTGAGTGGGTGAACCATTTTTTAGATTTGCTGACAGTCTGGGGGCTGTATTTCCAAAGGGAAGGGGCTACAGGGGAAAGAAACAAAAGAAACCCCAGCTATTTGCAGCTTAAAATTTAAAACAAATTCTCAATTGCACACTTTAAAGATTAAGAATAGTTTTGATTGTTTTGGATTTTTGAGTCACAAATATTTCCATTATTAGTGCGAAACTTAGGAATTTAAAGCATAATCTCTTTTTTAAAAGGGAATAATGTGGGATGAATTATTTGCTTCCCGATGGCCATAGTGCTCTTCACTTACAAAACTGCCTGTAACCTTTATATTCCAAAGGCAAGGACAGATAATCCACACCATCAAAGGTAAACTCTAGAACCTATACCTCTGACTTTAGTCTGCTGCCTTCATTTTGAAACTTATTTTAAGCACAGAAACCTGGCCTGCACATCTGGCCACAATTTTCGAAAGTTTCCTTTTTCTTTTGCACCACCCTCAGCTTTGTGGTGCCCAACCTGATGAAAAAAACAAGCAGGGTCAAAAGCTGGCTAATGCCTTTGCTGTTTTTAAGTGGTCTCATGAAGGTATCATCCACTCTTGCCTTCAGATTGTACACAAGGACTACACTTTTTATATTATTATTATTATTATTATTATTATT